CGGGTGCACCAGGGGGAGCCTGCTGGAGGGGAGACGAACCAGGAGAAGCGGCTATGGAAATGATTTTTTTTTTCTCCCTGCCCAAACCCGCCTCCCAACTTGGAACTGCACTGGGTCTCACCGGAGCTGCCACTACCCCAACCACGCGCTTTTCCCACCAGCGTTGGGGCGTACGTGCAGAGCGACTGTTAAAGTCCGGGCGCACGGCTCCAAACATTCAATTTGACAGTCATGTCTTCCCCTCGTCTCCCCTCACCAATCCCTTTTTCAGGGTAAAATCCCAGACACTTTTTGCCAGATTTCCACTTGCGTTGATGTACCCCCCAGACTTCTCTCGTACCACCGGTTGAGAAACACTGGACTATCTGATAAGCAAATGCTTATTTGATAGTTGACTCGACGAGTCACCTCCTGCCCCCCTAGCTGCCTCTTTCAGAGAGAGGCAACATGGGGGGAAACAGGAGCTGGTGCTGAGGGGTAAACCAGTAAAGCTGGTTCCCCCTAGCACCGTCTCTGTGGGAGGCAGGAGATGCAGAGGGGAAACAGCGTGAGCAGAAACTGCTTCAGTTCCCACTTGTGCCAGTTCTCACTACCAACATATATGCTTTCGAAATGTACAAAGAGCCCTGTGGAGCTTTTGTATGTTTCAAAAGCAGAAGTGTTGCAGGTAGCAGAGGATGAGCAGGGATTCGAGCAGTCCCACTCGCCCCATGCTTTTTGTGGTGCTCTCCCGCTTCTTTACTGTCTCTATGAAAGGCAGCAAGGAGGGGACAGGAGCCGGTGCTGGGGGGAGCTGGCTTAAAAGCTGAGTCTCCCCAGCTCTGTCTCCGGGGTGTCCTCTGCCTCCCCCCTTCCCTCTGCCTCTATCAGAGGCGGGGGTGAGTGTGAGAGGGCAGTAAGCAAGAACTTAGCGGATAGCTGGCACATAGTTGACTAGGCACTTCCCCCACCCTCTTGCTGTCTCTATCAGAAAGAGTCAGCAAGAAAGGGGAGAAGGAGGAGGTGCTTCAAAGTGGCAGTGCTGCATGGAGCCTGGGGCCAGCTCAGAGTCCCCAGCTGACCCCGGGTTCCATGTGACACTGCCTCTTTGAAATGCTGTGGGGAGCACAGAGCCAGCAGGGGGACCCTGGGGCTGTTGCTACACTTAAAGGTGGAGGCGCCCTTATTGACTAATTGAATAGTCGATGCAATTATTCAATTAGCCACATTTCCACTGATGGTCCCTAGCTATCTATGCACATCCTTTTCTTCCCACAGATCCAGGAGACCTTATATCACCTATCACATTGAAGAATGCATATAGCATGTGGAGCCAACATGGTTGGCATTTGCATTAAACAAGTTGCTTGGTTAGAAAAGGCATTACAAAAATGTGCAGGTGTACATGTGTGTGGTTTCCAGTCTTTATGATAATGGAATTTACAGTTGTGATGAGAACTGTTGGATGGTATCTAAAATTTGGGATTTCTTAGAAAGACTTGTTTTATTGCAATAACTAATCAAAACAGAGAAGTAGATCAAGATTCCACTTCCCATATGTTCTGAAAAACTTGGTCAGATCTTCTGTCACAGTGATTACATATGCTAATTTATGTAATAAAAACTTTTGAGATGTTTGTGCTAGTATAGGCTATATGGAAAGCAAAGGTGCGTGTTTTTGTACATGGAATGCCTTTAAGTGTCAGACTTTACGTATTAGAATTTGTATTGTTTTT